ACTTTGGAGGTGATGGGGACCTAGATCTGGATTTTGAGTTCTTTGGTGGAGGAGTAACCTTTGATCTAGACCTGGAGCGAGACCGAGATCTGGACGCAGAGGAGGACCTCCGAACAGAACGAGGTTTAGAACTAGAGCGAGATCGGGATCTGGTTCGCGAACGAGACTTTGACCGGCTGTAACGTGACCGGCTACGTGACCTGGACCGACTCTTGCTTCTGGATCTGCTATACCGTCTTCTTCTTGGGCTGAAAGGAAAAATATATTCAGTAAGTACATGGCTGAATGTGGATTCTCATCTGACAATCCCACAAATTCCTGCTTAATGACCCGCAGACCCACAAACACTAAAAACACAGACTTAAAGCAGAACTAAACCCTCCTACCCCTTACAATCAAGGAAGCCACCATCTTGGCCTCTGATCTGTATTTTATTTACAGGTACAACCAATGATTTTCCTTCCATTTATATTTTAACCACTTGCCTACTGGGCACTTACACCCACCACTTCTTGCCCAGGCCAATTTTCAGTGCTATCACACTTTGAAAGACAATTGCGCAGTCATGCAATATTGTACCCATATGAAATTTTTATCATTTTTTTCCTCACAAATAGAGCTTTCTTTTGGGGGTATTTAGTCGCTGCTGGGTGTTTTATTTTTTGCACAATAATAAAAAAAAAAAGTAAAAAATTTGAAAAAAAAAAAAGGTTTTGTTTCTATTATAACATTTTGCAAACAGGTAATTTTTCTCCTACACCGATGTGCATTGAGGCTGCACTGATAAGCACTGGTAAGGTGGCACGGATAGGCAGCAATGATGGGCACTGATCATCAGTGCCCTGATGATCAGTGCCAATCTGTTCTCTGACCATTGCCGGTTATCGGCAGTACTTTCCTCATGCTGTGACAGCGTGAGGAAAGTGCAGCCGATAATCGGCAACTGTATTTACCAGGTGATCTGCTGTGTAATCGTACACAGTAGATCTTGTGGTAAAAGGTCGCTGTGATTGGTATTTAACCATATCACGTGATCAGCTGTGTCTGTAGGAGATTGCCTGGTGCGCGCTCTGCTGGGGGTACGTTCTGGGAGGACATCATATGAAGCCCTTCCAGAACTGGACAACTGCGATGTAGCTGTCATTTGGCTATAGCACTGTTGCTAAGTGGTTAAACTGAATGGGATGTTTTACAAGTATGAGTTTACATATACTTTAACCCCTTTTCTGAGTTTGCCTTCGCAAATTCAAAACTTACACAGGAATCTCAGGTGGTGTCACAGCAGATGGAGACAAAGGAAAGTGTAGGCATAGGGCTCATTCATATTGCTATCTGCACTCCAGTGGACATCAGTTTTACGCCACGATGACTGCATTTTACAAGTCATCTATAAATGCTTTTAAGTGCAGTACAGAAGGGTATGCATCTAACTGCAGTATAAAGCCCTGCATTATCCCTTACATAACGCTGCAGAAGGAACTCTGGGGTGAAGGCATGACTTTGAAAAGTCATGTGCTCCGGATCTCTGCCTGCGCTTATTTCCAGTTCAATAAAATCAATAGAGCTTTCTAGCGTTGCATTCTGGAAGCAATACCATATTTGTAAAATCCTATCCCTGTGCTCTATAAATGTGCCTTTTGAAAGATAAGTTCACCTTTGCAGGTAAAACATTTTATTGTTTTACTAGGAGCCTGGAAAGCATTGCATCCATGATCAAAAGATCACATGTGTAACACAGGACTCCTGCAGATTATCAGTGTAGGCTGTCTGCTTGTATCTTGTATGGGCAGGCAGCTACACACTTCGAAAATGAACAACATGCAGCACCCCAGTAGTTCATTGCATACATGTTGCATTTTAGCGCAACGCAGCGTTATGGTGTAACTAGGAAACATTGGAAATTGTTTTTAATTTGTCCTGTTGATTTGCTGTGATTTTACATTACTTCCAGTTTACTAGGAAAAAAGGCGCCATTTTTAAAAAAGAAAAAGCATTTGATTATACTGATCTTGGTGTGATTAAATGGTTTTAAGTGCAATAGGATTTGGGGTCTTATTAACTACAGATCCCTTTATACAGGGTACCCATTACATGCCTATTGCTGTCACAAGGGATGTTTACATTCCTTGCGACAAAAAAAAAAAAAAAAAAGTTTTTAAAGCAACAGTGTAAAAATAAAACATACCCATGATCTGACGTGGGCGGTGATACCTCACTTGGGTATCATCGCCCACGTCAGATCATGGGCAGTAATTCTATCACTAGACCTCTGTAAATCTAAAGCAGTAACCTGTAAAGGCTTTTAAAGTGTTGCCTATGAATAGTAAACTGTACATTGTTGCCATTACATGGGCGTGCGCAAATGTAACCACTTTCCGACTGAGCAAAAGATAGCTACAGTGCGGATGGCTGGTTCTGGGAGGACGTCTATATACGCCCTCCCAGAACCCTGCCCCTCTACGCGCATCGGGAGTGATCTGTGATCAGCTGTGTCCTTTGGACACAGCTGATCACAGAAAGAGGTAAAAGGCCAATAACAGCAGTCCTTTGCCACGTGATCAGCTGTGTCCAATCACAGTGTAAATAGACTTCCCGGTTAACGGCAGTCTTTCTCACATGCTGTGAAAGCGTGAGAAGAGAACCGGTAACCAGCGGTTTTCACTGGAACATCTACACTGATAATCAGTGCAGCCCCATAAGTGCCACCTAATAAAGTGAAGGGAAAAAAAAAAAAAACATGTTTTATAACAAACTAAGAAAAACTGTCTCTTTTCATTTGCTTAGCAAAAAATAAACTGAATGCTGATTATATACCACTGAAAGAAAGCTCTATCTGCCTAAAAAAAAAAAAAAAAAAAAAAAAAAAAAAAAAAAAAAAAAAAATGCCATATGGCTAGTTATATGACCACACAATTGTCAAAGCGACATCACCGAAAGCTGCAAACTGGCCTGAGCAGTAGGCAAGTGGTTCTAAAGGCTCAATGTTTTTTACCTTTATGCATGAAAGTAAAAACCTTCTCTGCTGAATCCCCTCAGCAACACCCCCCTCCCCCAACACTCACCTAAGCCCCCTCTTAATCCAGCGATGTGCACAGGAGTCTTGGATATCCTGAGACTCTTCTCATTGAGACAGAATCAGGAGCCACTGGCTCCCACCGCTGTTAATTACAGCCAATGAGGAGAGGGGGCGAGGCAATAAGTTGCTTATTGCTGCCATTACTAGTAAAAAAAAAATTTTTAAGAAATGTATATATATTCTGTTTAACCACATCCCCGCCGCCCTATAGCAGATATACTGCTACAGGCTTGCAGGGGTGCGCAAAATCGCATACACTTCGTGTTTCCAGGTAGGGGGCGCACGCTGTCATTCGCGGCCATGAATCACCAGGTCCAGGCCAGCGATTACCCATCAGCGCCCGGCGACTACTGAGGATCTCCTGACGGGGAGGAGGGCTGCTTTGCTTACTAACAGCCGTTGTCCTGGCTCGGGCACCCACTTAAAACACTCCCAGCACACAGTTAACCCTTTGACCGCCCCTCATGTTAACCCCTTTCTGCCCAGTGCCATTAGTACAGTGTCAGTGCTTTTTATTTTAGCACTGTTCACTGTATTAGTGTCACTGGGGATGTCAGTGACACCAAGTCGGTTCCCCCCCCCCAGTGTCAGAATGCCCGCCGCTGTACCGCTATAAGTTGCTGACCGCCGCCATTATTAGTAAAAATAAATAAAAAATTCCAGTATCTATACCGCCATTTGTAAGCGCTATAACTTTCACCAATTTACACTTATTGGGTTCTTTTTTTTTTTAGCCAAGACATGTAGAAGAATACATTTTGGTGTAAATTTATGACGAAAAGGGCTCAATTCAGGGGGAGGACGTACATTTAATTTGGGTGCAGGGTTGCATGACCACGCAATTGTCAGTTAAATTAATGCAGCGCCGTAATGCAAAAAATGGCCTGATCAGGAGAGGGGGTAAATCCTCAGGAGGGTAAGTGGATATATACCACCATTTGTAGATGCTATAACTTTCACGTAAACCAATTTACACATATTGGGATTTTTTTTAGCAGACATTTTGACCTAAATTTGATTTAACTGGACATATTCAATGGCAAAGTCAAAAATAGTTTTTTTCCCCCAAACTTGTCAGGTTTTTTGTTTACAGTGCAAAAAAAAAAAAACAAAAAAAAAAAAACCCAGATGATCAAATACCACCGAAAGAAAACTATTCGTGGGGGGAAAAAAAAAAAAAGACAAATTTAATCTGAGTGCAGCATTGCATGACCACTAAATTGTCAGTTAAAGTAACGCCAAAAATGGCCTGGTCCGGAAGGGGGTGGGGTAAATCCTCTGGTTGGCAAGTGGTAAGTGAAAAAAAAAAAAAAAAAAAAGCCTTTAGAATCACTTGAAAACATTACATTTAGCATTTACTCAGCTTAATACTTTTGATGTTACCAAAACATTGGGTTATGTATTGTTTGTTTTTGCAATAAAGTTCAAAAAGTGCATTTGGAAAACCGCTGTGCAAATACCGTGACAAACCCAATGTATTCTCTATGGCCTCTACTTTAAAATGATGTATATTGTTTGGGGGTTTTAAGAAATATTGTTACATGTTAAAGTGCCAAAAAAGCTCTGGACGTGAAGTGGTTAATGAATGACACTGTTGTGGGCCTGAACATGGGGCGCAGAATTGTGTGCTCCTGCGTACTAGCCACCATGTATTCCTCCAGCAATGTGCATGCATCCTATAGGTAGATCCTCCAGCCCATGTGATGGCCCGTATCCCATACACTAACTGGAGAAGGCCTGCTAGCAGAGAATGGGATCCATGCGGTAGGATCACACGGAAAGATCACACTGGATTTCTCGCGGGCGGCGCCATCTTGGCTCACATGGGCCGCACAGGAATGAAGTACAAAGCCCAGGCCGCCGCACTGCCTCAGCCCTATGCATAGGGGGCGCTGCGCCCCTTCCCCCTCCACCCATCCAGGACTCACCTCCTGCTGCGGCGCCCGTAGTCCCCGTACCTCCTAGGCGGGGGTCCCCGGCGTCCATGAAGAGAGTCCGGAGGTCGGCCGTAACGCGCCATCTGCACCCGGAGCTCCCGGCCATCCAGCACGGCCCCGTCCATGGCGTCCATCGCGTCCTCGGCGTCTCTCTTGTCGTGAAAACGGACGAAGGCGAAGCCGCGGCTCTCCTTAGTGTAGCGGTCCCGGGGGATGTAGACATCGCCCACGCGGCCGTACTTCTCGAACACTCGCCGCAGAGTCTCCGGGGTGGTCCGATACGTCAGGTTGTCCACTTTGAGGGACGTCATGTCCTCAACGTCCGGCGGAGGCCGCCCGTAACTCATAGCGGCTAAACTGCCGGGAAACGGCACGGTGGCTGAGGTAGAGGAGCGGAGAGAAGAAACAACGTTCCGCCTTGTGCGGATTTCACACGATGATAACGTGAGAGAGGCCGAGCGCCGCGGACTGCACTTCCTTATTACCGCCCTCTCTGCCACACAAAATGGCGGCGGCTGGAAGAATAGACTTCCCGCCCCTCGTTACAGCCAATCACGACTTCGGAGGTGAGCGTGCCCTGGAGCCTCATTGGTGGGTCACGTCACTGGCGCCCTGATGGCTGCCTCCCCCAGCTAAGATGGCGGACGATGGCGTGCGTGTGTTAAAAATCCCGCCAAAGAGGTGGATGTTGGTCAGTCTGGCCTGAGGGTTAATTGGCACAGAGGCCACTATTTTAATAAACCTGTTAAAGACTGTAGAACATTCACCAGAGGAGGCTCATTAAGTTCTCATGCACACTGGATGGTTTTACAGTGGCTGTTTTTGGCTTTTTAAAGTTTTCCTACAGCCAGTAAACCCCCCAGCACGTCATCCTATGTGTCTATACACACACACTGCAATGAACGAACGTTTCTTTGCCAGAAAAAACCCAGAACTAGTTGGTTTCTAGATCAGTTTTTTGCTTTAAAACACCACAAACCTGCGTTTTTGGACTTTTTTTTACCTAAAAAACGCAAATGCAGAAATACAATGCTAATGCAAAAAAGCTGAAAAACTAAAATTTTCACGTGAATTTACACAGCTAACGTTACCAGCGTTATCAAAACGCCCCGTGTGCATGGTTACCAGCGTTATCAAAACGCCCGTGTGCATGGAGCCTAATGTAGGCCATAGACGGGGTGAAAACCGTCTGTTTTAAAAAAAAAAATCGGTCGTTCAATCGACCGACGTTACCACCATTGGTAAAAAAAAAAAATCGGCTGATTTTCGTCCCGTCTACGGCCGGCAAGTATAATAGCGGTGTCCCTGCAGAGAGCTCCACTATTATATTTGACATTTAAAAGTATAGCAAAGTTGCAACATTGTATCTATTTGTATCCATTCGGATACATATGTTTCTATTTGGATATAAATAGATACAATGTTGCAACCGCAATACTTTTAAATGTCAAATATAATAGTGGAGCTCTGTGCAGGGACACTCCGCTATTATTTTTGATATTTAAAAGTATTGCGATTGCAACATTGTATCTATTTGTATCCGAATAGATATCTATTTTTATCCGAAATGGATAAAAAAATAGATACAGATGTTCTTTTTCTTTGTCTTCTTTTCCTCCTTCTTGCAGGTCACGGCTCATGCGCATTTTTTTTAATCGGTAAAAAGATCGGCCGATTTGCCCATCATTGCCGTGAAAATCGGCCGATCGACTAAATCGGCTGATTTTTTCCAACATAACCGATTAAAATAATGTGTCAAAATCACGAAAAACGGCCGACAAATTCACCCACTAACGATCCGAAAATCGGCCGATTATTCTTTCAGGTGAATTTTTGGCCGATTTTTGACCCATCTATGGCCTGCATAAGCCCTCATGCATACTTGACAAACAGCGGCTGTTTTTGGCTTTTGACGTTTTCCATGCACACAAAGACTGTAATCAACTTTTTTTGGCTGGGAAAAAAAAACAGGATTAGTGGGTTTCAAGAGGAGTTTTTTTAGCTGTAAAAATGCTCTAATGCTGGAAAGCATGGTAAAACACTGCAAACCGGTGTTTTTGTACTTTTTTTAACTTAAAAATCCTGCAAAACACCACAAAAACGCTGAAAAACAATGCGAAACGCTAATGCAAAAAACACTAAAAAAAACCCTGAATAACTCACGTTATTGTGATTTTACACTGCTAACATTACAAGAGCTATCAACCCCCCTCCCCCCCAAACCACCCAACCCCCATAGTCCCCCCACCACTTGTGCATGGAGCCATGTAGATATACCAGACACAGCCTTGTAATCAATAGAAAGAGACACCAAACACCAGCCTTGTTCTCCTAGGTCAGTGGTCTCCAAACTGTTATCACAACAAATAGAGGATGCACTGGCTTAGAGTCCATTATCCTTTCAAATATGTAATGTATAAAAAGTACCGTATTTTTCGCTCCATAAGATGCACCTGACCATAAGACGCACCTAGGTTTTAGAGGACAAAAACAAGAAAAAAAATATTCTGAACCAATGGACTACAGACACAGTACAGGAGATGGCCAGAGACTGCAGACATCGTACAGAAGACCAGAGACTGCAGACAGTGCAGGGGATGACCAGAGACTGCGGACATCGTACAGAAGACCAGAGACTGCGGACACAGTACAGGAGATGACCAGAGACTGCAGACAGTGCAGGGGGGGATGACCAGAGACTGCAGACAGTGCAGGGGATGACCAGAGACTGCGGACACAGTACAGGAGATGACCAGAGACTGTGGATGCGGTACAGGAGATGACCAGAGACTGTGGACCCGGTACAGGAGATGACCAGAGACTGCGGACGCGGTACAGAAGATGACCAGAGACTGCGGACGCGGTACAGGGGATGACCAGAGACTGCGGACGCGGCGGTACAGGAGATGACCAGAGACTGCGGACGCGGTACAGGAGATGACCAGAGACTGCGGACGCGGTACAGGAGATGACCAGAGACTGCGGACGCGGTACAGGAGATGACCAGAGACTGCGGACGCGGTACAGGAGATGACCAGAGACTGCGGACGCGGTACAGGAGATGACCAGAGACTGCGGACGCGGTACAGGGGATGACCAGAGACTGCGGACGCGGTACAGGAGATGACAGAGACTGCGGACGGTACAGGAGATGACCGAGACTGCGGACGCGGTACAGGAGATGACCAGAGACTGCGGACGCGGTACAGGAGATGACCAGAGACTGCGGACGCGATACAGGAGATGACCGGAGACTGCGGACACGGTACAGGGAATGACCAGAGACTGTGGACACGGTACAGGGAATAACCAGAGACTGAGGACACGGTACAGGAGATGACCAGAGACTGCGGACACAGTACAGGAGATGACCAGAGACTGCAGACAGTGCAGGGGATGACCAGAGACTGCAGACAGTGCAGGGGATGACCAGAGACCTTTGGGGAGGGAGGGGCAACGGGTACCTGAATTTGACAGGTACCCGCTCCCACTTCCGCGGAGTTGTCCTTCCTTCTTCTTCCCGCAGCGGCTTCTGTGACAGCCAGGTGCCCGCTGGTGTCCCAGAAGACACCAGACCATTCACAAAGCGCAGCGCTTCTCGCGCATGCGCAGTGGGCACCCGGCTGTCACAGAAGCCGCCGCGGGAAGACTGCAGCGCTGGAGCGAGGAACAGGTAAGGTCCTGCAGGAGAGAAGAGCTGAGTGGCCGGCCCGATATTCTGACATGGTGGCAGCAGAAATACCGGACCGGCCGCTTTACATTCGCTCCATAAGACGCACTGACATTTTCCCCCCTTTTTTGGGGGGAAAAAAGTGCGTCTTATGGAGCGAAAAATACGGTAATTATTATATTTACAAAATCTTAAAAGTACAAATTCATCTCATGAGTACGGCACAAATGGTCCGCAAACATCAAGAGGCAAGACATTGGTGGAGCAACGAAAGGCTAACGCATTTCGAGGACTTATCCTCTTCCTCAGAGCCGTGCTCATAGACTTCCCCAGTGCAAGACAGGTGCACTCCAAGTAGGCTAAGTTTTGACTGCAGCCCACCAGCTCTTCTCGGGTCCATTCTCCAAGCGCAGGAAGATCAGTGTTTTCCCTTTCTTTGTCTCCAAACTGTGGCCCAGGGGCCAGATCCAACCCTTTGCTTGCTTTTATGTGGCCCATGGGGCACTAGTTTGTCCACTGACACCATCATTGGGGCATAATTCCCCCCATTGACACCAATGATGGAGCACAATTTCCCCCACTGACACCCATGATGGGGCACAATTCCCCCCACTGACACCCATGATGGGGCACAATTCCCCCCACTGACACCCATGATGGGGCACAATTCCCCCCCCCACTGACACCCATGAAGGGGCACTATTCCTCCCACTGACACCAATGAAGGGGCACTATTCCCCCACTGACACCAATGAAGGGGCACTATTCCTCCCACTGATACCAGTCTCCCCCTCCCCCCCCACTGACACCAATGATAGAGCACTATTCCTCCCACTGTCACCAATGATGGGGCACTATTCCTACCACTGACACCAATGATGAGGCACTATTTCTACCACTGACACCAATGATGGGGCACAATTCCTCCCACTGATACCAATGAAGGGGCACAATTCCTCCCACTGACACCAATGACGGAGCACTACTCCCACTGACACCAATTATGGGGCACTATTCCTCCCACTGACACCAATGAAGGGGCACTATTCCTCCCACTGATACTATCAATGGGGCACTATTCCTCCCACTGACACCAATTATGGAGCACTATACCTCACACTGACACATGATGAGGCACTCGTTCTCCTACTAATACCAATGATGGGGCACTATTCCTCCAATTGACACCAATGATGAGGCACAATTCCTCCTACTGACACCACCAATGATGAGGCACAATTCCTCCTACTGACACCAATGATGGGGCACTAATCCTAACACTGATACTATCAATGGGGTACTCTTCCTCCCACTGACACCAATGATGGGGCACTATTCCTCCTACTGACACCAATGATGGGGCACTATTCCTCCTACTGACACCAATGATGGGGCACTATTCCTCACACTGACACCAATGATGGGGCACTATTCCTCCTACTGACACCAATGATGGGGCACTATTCCTCACACTGACACCAATGATGGGGCACTATTCCTCCTACTGACACCAATGATGGGGCACTATTCCTCACACTGACACCAATGATGGGGCACTATTCCTCCTACTGACACCAATGATGGGGCACTATTCCTCACACTGACACCAACGAGGCATTTTTTTGCCACTGAAGTCGGGACCTTTTCTACTCCCAATGGCCACAATCTGGCCCCCCC